AGCAACGCCAGACTAAAATAAAACGAACAGGGGGCGGGGAAGCGAACAACAGGAAGGGGATGAAGGTGCCGAGCTCGGCGGTACCGTCAGAGAAGATGCCGCAAAAGGTGCCTTCAGCACAGTCGGGGCTGTAAGGAGGCTCGCCAGGGGCTGGGGAATGGGTGGTTGGAAATTGAGACCCGGGAGGCGTCCGAGAAAGTCGGGACCTTCGAGTGCTGGGCAAACCAGTTGACCCGCTTTCTGTCTGTCGTACAGAAAGTTTAGGGCTCTGCAAAGCTGTTGAAGTCTGTAAGGCATGTAGCGGCTGATGATCCCGAGGAAGCACGGGCCCGACAAAGACGAAGCGTTCGGCGAACTCCAGAATTGTCTGGCGACACCCACTAGATGGTCGCAGGCCTCGCGGCCGAGCTTCTTGTAGAGAAAGCAGCCAGCTCAATGCCCAGCTCCCTGATCCACTCGATCGGTCTCTGGAACATGACGCGCGACGGTGGGGGTTTCGCGTGGCCTCTAGTAGCATGTGAAGGAACAGAGAAGCTGTGCATGCTCGCTCGGCTTCAGGCGCAGGCATACCGGAGAAGTGTCGCGCTGCGTTGTCTGCATAAAACTTTAGGTTGCTGAAATCCAATCATCATACGGCATGTTTAGCATCCGAATTCACGGCAGGATATTCGCAACCGAGACCACCGACTTCTGGAAAAGCGCCGCAAAGAGCCTTACACCCTCCGGCCGAACACTTTGCTTCTCACATTTTTAATCAGCCTCAACACTCTGGTCCGATCTAACCTGTAGTACAACACACCGGCTACCCAGGCCCCCACGGACCTGACACCGTTTTACCGGATCCCGAATATCAGACGTCCTAGCCGAACGAACAATTTACACGCTGTTGTGGTCATCAACTGAAACAAAACTTCTGTACGTACCACAAGGCGTCGTCATCGAGCAAGGGCTCGACGATCGGCGCTTTCTGATAGCTGAGTTCTCGGCGAATGGAATGCCCGTTTCCCCTCTCTCCACCGGTTGTCGATTCGTCGGCTGTCGATTTTGGTCGGGGTGGGTTAGCGAATCTTGCGACGGCTGGCGCCGGCTCTACGTCGACCGGCTCTACGTTGGCCTGGGTGGCCGGAGATGACTCCACTCGCGGACCGGTAGCCCCCCTGTCAGATCCGGTAGCCGGCCGAAAAAGTCGGCACCTTCTAACGCAGTGTACATCTGCTCTTTGGTTTGCCACTGGCGGTATGGGAGTTGCAGGTGCTTGCAAAAGTTCTCGGCGCTGCGGTTGATGTAGACATTGAGGAGGCGTAAGAAGCATCCAAGGAAGCAGGGGTC